TCCTGCCCCTGTCCTGCCCGCTAAACCACTGAAGGCCTCTCCTCTCGACCTCCAGGCTGCCAAGCTGGAAATTAGCGCCTGGCGATCTCCCCCCCCCCTTTCGCCCAGCGCCGTTCATGTCGTCACTCACTGCCTGGAAAAAGCGCACGGGCGGCTGCTGCACGGCCCGTCCATCACAATTCATCCAGGTCCATCATCGCCCTATTTTTTTTCGGTCGGCTCTGTCGAACACTCTTCCCGGGAGATGGAAGCATCCCGAACCCCTCAATTAATATCGGCCGGGCTGCGAGTCGCCGAGCCTTCGACCGTGTTTACCGTCAAACAAACGCGGCATTCTCTCTCACCTGACCAGCAAACAAACAAACCCTAGGAACAACACGAACTAGCTCAGAGCCTCATCCACAAAGCCACACATCGTATCACCGAGGAGGGACAGGTCACAGGCCCATTGGCACACCACTGGCTGGCACTGCGGCAAGCGGTCCCACGTCCTCTTCTTGCGTTCCCCACCACCTCGCGCTGCGCCAAGTGCCGGCGCCGTGAACTGTCTCTCGGCGGAGGGGGGGCCATCATCGCAGGTTCCTTGGTGTCTGGTGTGACCCTGTGGGTATTTTGTATTTGTATTCTGGCAAAGCTTGGGTACTTGCAGTTCCGGGGCAGGAATGTTCCAACTTCGAGACATGTGCCGCCTGTACATGTATGCATGTCTCGATCTCGGTCAAGACTCAAAGCAGCTTTTGAAGCCATCTCCCCTGTCCTTCCTTGCCCTGGAGGACACTACCGACGGAGCTATTGAACGGTTCGCAATCCCTCCGTCGTCAACAATCTCCCCCTTGCCAGTCATTCACTGAGAACAACGGCTTGGGCGAGGGAGTCTCGGAGTGTTGCTCGTCCGACTCCCTCTGACTCTTTGTGCCTCGTACTACTCCTCCCAGCCTCTGGCTACGCGCGGCCGATACGAGGCCTTCGTCGTCAACCTCCTCCCCCATCCAATCGTGCGACGTCGCGCCCCCCTGCCACCCGACGTCCACAACAAGACATGCTCCAGTTCCCGCCGTCAGCGCGCTTCGGAATGGCTTCATCAAAGTTAAAAAAGGCCACTCTGCCGGCACCTCCGGCAGCAAACGGTCCTCTGCCCCCAGGCTCTCGACTGGAATGTCGCAAGATGCACGCGCGCCAGTCAAACCTCCCAGCTTTGCTCAATCTTGTTCCTGTTCCATCTCGACCACAGATCTGAACCCATCCCTCCCACATGGCCTCCCTCTGCCGCTGCCACATGCTCGGCCATTCTCGATAAGACCATACCAGGGAGTCAAGGAGTCACAGCAGTCACATCTTGAAATCCTGCCTTCTCCATGCGTCCTGGTCAAGGCATCGGCCCCTTGGCTGGAGATCTGGCGCCTTCTCGTGGCAGTATCCCGGATTCCACCATGACCCCTTGTCCATTATTGCAGGACACCCCCGCAGATATCGCCCGCCCGACCTCGCCTCTGCACCGTCTGCTTGCTGCACTGCAGGCCTGCGGCCTTGCTGGGATCCCTGTCGGACTTCCACGATACGACCTTTTGGGGACACCCAAACGGCCCGCGATGGCTGGCAAATTCGCCGAACCCGACAGGGGTCGTCTCCCCAAGTCCGAACTGTCCACGTTTGGCCTGGTCTTGCCACGCCTTTTTTTTTTGTTTAAAGCTTCCACGATGATCCGAAGTGTTGCATCGCCAGCGGGCCATCTTCAAGCGTGTCGTCCGGGCCAACATGACGGTCTGACGATGGAGACTTTGCCCCCTTTGTGTGCCCCCGGCCAAGGCACTACCACCTCCTTGGAAGCCCTTCCCTGAGCGATCCATCATAACACAACGGCTCCATCGCTAGCACATCGCCACCGCTCGGTGCTGCAGCCGTCACAGGTTTTCATGGCATGCCAACTCGGCCGTGTATGCATGACTTACAGAACCAAGGAATCGTCCTTCCTCCGACGCATTTTTCCTTCTCCTCCGGCCGGCACCCCCGCGTCTTGGTCAAGGCGTTATCGGGTCGCACCCCCACCGCCGAGAAGATGTCCCCATCTTCCGATGCAGTCTGGAGGCTTGGGAGCCTCGAGCAACCGCACCTTTGCCTGCCCGGACGAACAAGAGCTGCGAGTTACTCGTACGCACTACGAGCTTCATGACCGCCCATCCGGTGTCCATGTGATGGTCGGCGCAGCTCGTATCAAGCACCTCGTCGCTCATCCATCCACACGACTTGCTAGTTAAAAGGGGGGCACCTTCACACCCTCTTGTCCCACGAACGTAGGACCCAGGAAAAGTGCCGCACGCCATTCGTCAATGGCACCCGGATTCGTCAAGTCAAGGGGCAGAGCACGGCGGTCGCCCCCTATTCAAACGTCACCAGCCTCTGCCGCCACACCCTCATCCCGGAGCCTCCAAGGAGACCCGTCATCCCTCGTCAGGGCAGCGCCGCCATCGCCAGGGCCGAGAGGAAGCAAAACCAAAAATGACGAGATGAATATCATGCCTTGCCTGCCTCCTTGGATGCAAGAAGGATGCACACCGCTGTCCACCTAGCACCGGAGTCCTCGGTGTGCAAGCGCCGGCGGATTGATACTCGGAGATTGGCATCCAAGTAGTTCATCCCCCCCCCTAAGCAATAGTTCCAATGCTACCCATCCATCCATCGCGGGGGTTGGGGTAAAGTATTTCTCCAGGCGACGCATTGCCTCCCAGCCCAGCAACGGAGATTCACCATGTTCACATGCTGGAGGAGGGAGAAGCTGCCCGATCGGATCAGATGCCCGTCTGCGATAGCATTCAGCCATGCCTGGGGCCGAGTCGATGGCGATCTAGCCAGCAAACAGCATTGAGAACCATCGTCATTCGCGTTTTCCCCCCCTTTTTTTCTCAGCTGGCCTCGACAACAACAACCCCCATCAGACGAAGCCGATTCCCTGCTCGCAACACAGTCCGTCGGCCCGCTAGACGTGCGCCGGTCGCCGGCCCTGCACCCGCCGCTGGTCCGGGAACGGTGTTTCTCGCTCACGCGATGTTGAGTTTCAGCCATTCCCGCGTGGGAGAGGGCCAGGACGAGCGATGGCGACGCAAAGAGGTCTAGCAAGCGGGAGCTAAACGCCCACGGACGAATTGTCATGGCCGCAACGGGCGACACGCGGCCTTCACTGCTAAGCAGCGGGCGAAAGCTACGGACGCCTCTGAAGCCATGGACATCTACAGCTGTGACTTTTCATCCGGCGAAAGCTGGAGCTGGAGCTGACGCTGACTCCAGCTGAGACAAACCTCATGAAGGCATCACGACGGCGCAGGTGAAGCTTTTCCCCTCCTTTTTCTCAACCCCCATGCATCGGCAAAGCATCGACAATGGTCCCAAACGCGGCATTTTCCCCCAAAACAACGCGTGTACTCCTCCAAAGTCCTCCCACATCCCTTGACCATCGCGCAAACTTGAAAACTAGCCCCAACATGCGACCTGGCCAGCAAACTCTATCTCCCCTTCATGTGGGTTCGTCCCAATGATCCGCCCGCCCGATTTTCGATGCTAGCGACTCCTCTCTCGGGGAGTTTTCGTCCCTCGCCCTCCCGAGAAGCTTTCAGCTTGAGCCGGTTTTCCCTCGATCGGCGGTCCGGAGACCCCGCTGCCCTGCCCGGAAGCGGCGCCCTCGACTCAAGGGCCGCCCGCCGGCGGGTCGCCGGTGGACCACGGGGCCCGCTGCGGCTTCCCCTGGATGACGGTCTGGCGGTCTTTGTTGCGAGTCGGGCACGAAGGACCGTGTGTCGGAGGGGCTTTTCCGAGGACAGCGGCGTGGCTGATGTTGTTCTGAGTCTGTTTGCGGTTTCGTCATGGTGACCGACGATTCGGAACCTCGGAGGCAGAGAACATTGGCGCGGGTCCGTCAATCTGTTTGAGACTCGTAAGATCACTTGCGCTTGACTAACATGAAAGACCAGGTGCCAGAACCGCCAAGGCGGCTTGGGATCCGTCAGGGATGGCCGTTGAGCGGTCATGAAGCTTTTGAGGGCATCATGATCGTTCTCTTCAAATCATCGATGGAGATTCTCAACATCTTGAGCCATTCCCGCCGCATTCGACGAAAGCTCCAGCAGACACGGTCTAACTTATGCCTCGAATAGTCGTCTGCCCAAACATCTAGTGATCACGGATCTTACTACCAACCCCCAAGCGAACTTGTACGGCTTTTGCGTCCCTACGACCGTGCAGGCCCTTCAAACTGATGCTCTGGGTCGAACTTTAGCGTCAGGTACGTCGTCACGAAGGGGCGCGCTGTCAGCCGTCTAAGACCCATCCTTCAACATCTCCTTAGATTGCCAGCATCTTCGAAGGCCAGACGCGAAAATCCTTCTGCCAGTCAGTCAGCCGCTGCCTTGGTTCATGTTCGACGTATCTGGATCTCTCGTAGTGGCGAAGACGACGAGACATGCCGTTCTTCGTCTTTTGCAGCTCCAACCAGCCTCCGGCAGGCCCTCCCATCAGATTTGGCCTGTCGCTTGCCATTCTACGTATCTTCGGCGCTTCAAAATCACTATAAGAGCCAAAGCATTATGATGTCGATCGTGATGGCGTCGGGTAGGCGTACGTGTGCCCTGGGAGGCAAAGAAGGGGGGGGGGGGGGGGGGGGATCTCGCTTCAGCACCTACATGACCACCCGCTGAAGCATTGACGAAATGCAGAGATCGCCTGCGGTCCAAAGTCCCCAGTATTCCAGGGAATAGTGTTATACTGGTCGGGGTGGCCTAAGGGAAGGGGGTCGCCATGCTTGGAGGCGCCTACATCGATCAAATGATGCAACGGGTCGCGCGAACACAACCAGCGCAAGCAGAAGAAAAGAACGCATCGACTGAGCCTGTACAAGACATCGTGGCAGCCCACAGGCCTCATCAAGGACACTCACATCTTCAAATGCTCGCAAAAGGTCCAAAAAATGGCGGGGGTCAAAACTAAAAAAACTTCTCTCTATGAAAGGCTGTTGTTGGGTAAGGGGTTCGAACCCTTGACGTCTCGCGACAATGGTGGTGAGAGCAACGACTCTTAAGACCAACGCCATAACCACTCGGCCAACCCAACAAAAATTGACGAGTTTCGAGTCAGATTTAGGTTCTATGTATTGTTCAGCCCCTGGCTTGGGGGCTTCAATAAAGTCAAACCAGAACAGCACACGATCAGGTTTCGCCAGGCATTTGGAATTTATCAGTCCAAATGACGATTTTCTGGGACTTCAGCTATGTCAGCCATTCGACATGAAATAATCCTCCTCCAGATGCAATTCGTTGCCCCTGAAGATCACAGCGAGCTTCATCCCGTTGAAACCGCCACTGACGCAACGAACCGCACACCGACAACTGCGCAGCCATTTACCGCGTCTCCTCCAGCTATTCTAGGATCAGATCATCGCGGGCGCGGCAAAACCAGGCTCTTCTTACGATGTTGCGAGGCGGGGACATGTTGGCGCTTGATGGGGCGTTGGTTGGGCAGCGGGCGGCCCTGTCGATCACCATTTCGGCACGATCGGACTCCATCACGGGCCGACACCCTCGGATGACCAGCTTCCAGATGATGTACATTCGTATTTCGTACAATATCCCCTCATCCGCGAGCATGTGTAAATCTGGCTCGGGAAACGGCAGCTGGCGCAACGGGTCTGCTGATCCCGTCTGTTCTAGCATCGACATGCGCCCATGATCGCCAGAATCAAATAACCAGGTCGTTTCAGCCATCCTCTACACGGCGGGTTCCCATGGATCTTCCGGTCTATATCTGATCATTCGCTCGATCTCCCACAGGTGCATCCCCTCAAACCCCCAGCGTCAGCGCCTTGTTCCGCTCCAAGATGGCCTCGACGAGCTCCCGTCCAGGAAAATCGATGATGACGATGCCCGTCTTGCCGTAATGCACGTCCGGCTTCGCCTCTTCCTCCCCGTGCCTTTTCCGCAGACTCCCGTCCACATATCTCGTCGCCCGCGCCTGCCGGTCAAGCCACAAGCCCGTGCGGTCGTTCATCCCGACAACGGTGCCGTTGATGGGTCCTGCAGCTGCGACGATGGGTAGGACGCCGACGCTGGCGCTGAGGTGCGACAGGTGGAGGACGTCGTTGGTATCACTGGCGTTCGCGGCGCGAATGAGGGCCTTCTCGATGGCCTCCCACTTCATCGACAGCAGCTCGACGCTGGGGATGATCCAGAGGTCCTCAAGATCCATGGACGGGCCGGACCAAGCGATACCGTATGGTCCTCCTTCGGCGCGGAAGTTCTGTAGCAGGAAGATCTTGCCACGCAGGGCGCCGAGGCTAGGCAGCGGTGCCGAAGGGTCATGCGGCCAAAAGTGCTTCTTCGCGCGAGCCGCCGTGTCGCTCGAGTTGTGCATATACCAGTTAAAGGCGCCTTCAAAGGTGAGCAAGTTGTGGCCGTACGGGCGCGCCTCGTCCTTGAGGCGCATGACGATGGTCTCGCTGGGGTTCTTCTCGAGAAAGTCAAAGACATCGAGCAGCACGTCTCCATAGCTGTAGCCGGTAAATCTGGAGGCGTGGTAGATCTGAATCGTGTCGTTGACCAGACGGCCGCGGATATCAAGGTAGCGCATGCCGGCGCGCATCTGAGTGCGCAGGTCATGGTTTTGGCACTGATAACTCTCGTGCGTAATGTCGTAGGTGAGGGTGTCGTGTGTGCCGGGTATTGACAGGCTGGTGAGGTTTGTCTCGTCGGGGATGTGCTTCATCCATGAGGCATGGTCGGCCTGGTCGACATCGAACGAGTACCGTGAGTCGTAGCCGTGATAGCAGGTGCCCGAGAGGAGACATGGTGAGAGGCCCAGTAGGAGGGAGAAGAGCATCCACACGAGCAGGAAGGCGGAAAGGACGAAGCTGCCCTGCCTTAGAGTGTTGCCGCCGATCTTTAACGACGCCATGGTGCAGAGTTGAGGACGATTCGCCCTGCGTGTGTGTCTGGACGGACGTTGCGGCGGCGGCCGAAGGTTCCGGATGATGCCGTCACGGCAACTGAATGAAGCCGAAGCCGACGCCGGCTGAGTGTGACCGCGATCCCCGACCGATGCAGGAGAACCGGAAAGCGTCAGAAGGCGGTAACGAGTCAAGATTCCATTGGAAATCCAAACAAGATGGTTACAAGACTCGGGGAAAAGACAAGAAACACGAATAAACGATTTTGTTGAGAGATGACCGGAAGGAGTTGGCAGATGAGCACGCGGTTGTCTGTCGGTGCCTGTTCGCGGTTGGTTACGTAAGCCGAAGTCAGTTGACGACTCGGATGGGACGTCACGTCACTTGACCCCGATTTCGATCATTCACGCATCGACCGAGCTTCCAATTTCATTCGCAACTCCTTGCCCAACTCCTGAATGTCGGGAACATCGACGTATCTTCCAGGTGCCGCGAGCTAGCCTGCCAGAGGGTGTTTGTTCCGTCCCCTGGCCGCCCAGCCATGCATGGATGATGCCGGTCGCCCAGGGTCGTAGAAGATGACCTCTGTAACACCCAGTTGACCAGAGGTAAGCCTCGGGGTTTGACATTAGTTTCTTACTTCCCAGTCTGTGTGGGTACACACGTCTACTACGCCTTTACGCTTCCAGGTGTCAGTACCTCCCCGAGAACCTCATGCAACTGCTTCCGAGTCAAACACTTCTCAAAAGCAAAGCTGCCCGCCAACGCCTCCAACTCCTCCTCAGTCTTGCCCCTAAACAGCTCGGCAAACTCCGCGCATAGCGTGTTGGCGACATATGTCTGCAGCGTGTTGCGCAGCACGTGCTGCTTCGTGTTCCAGTTGGGAGGGTACGCGGCGTTGGCCGTGGGCGAGATGCTGTCAATGTACGCGACGAGGGCGTCGATGGGCCCGTCGACGGGGGGACACGGGCCCTGCGAGGCGCTTTCGATCTGTATGGCGACCTTGCGGCGGGCAAAGGCGCCGACGAGGGCGGCCCAGGGCGTGTCGGGGCCGACGCGGACCATGCCCATGCGGCCAATGTCCTTGTACGCCCAAATGGACCAGTCCATGTCGACCTCTTGGTAGATATGGATCTGCTCGGCGAGGAGGGCGGCGCGACAGGCGTTGACTTCCAGGGCGTCGCCGTCGACGTCGTGGTCCTCATCCTCCCACTGCGGGCCGAATTCGCCGTTCCAGATGCTGGCGCCATGGCGATGGTGGAACTCGCACTTGCGTACGAGCTGGCGGCGTAGCTTGTCCTTTTGATCGGGGATGCCGGTGTAGCGACCGCCAAGACGGAAGCCCATCATGCTGTAGTCATGAATGGCATAGGACGCGTTGGACAGAACCTCGGTGAAGCCGGACCACTCCATGGCGAATGTATTGCCGTCGAGGAAGAGAATGTGACGGCTGTCGATGGCCCTGATCGCGGCCTCGAGACGGGCGTAGAGGGCGGGAAGACGGACCTGCTGGGGATCGCATGGCTCGTTGAGAAGGTTGTACCCAGCCACCCAAGGATTGTCCTTGTAGCGCTCCGCAATGCGCTCCCAGAGCCAGACTGTGCGGTCTTGGTGGTCTTTGAAGTCCCAAAAGGCAGCGTACGAAGTATTATTGTCCGAGTGCCAGTCCGGGTTCTGGCAGCCCGGGGCGGTGTGCATATCGAGGACGGTATAGATACCGTGGCGGGCGCAGATTTCGATAACACGATCGAGGTGTGTGAAGCCCTAGGTCTTGAGAACGCGGGGGTTCATGTCGTCGTCGAAAAGCTTGTGTCTAAAGGGGAGACGGAGGGTGTTGAGGCCTAGGGAAGCGAGGTAGGCGGCGTCGGCGTCGGTGAAGAAGTAATGGAAGTAGCGTTCGAAGAAGAAGTCGTACTTTGTCTGGCCAGGAACATCTAGAAGGGCGGCTCGAAAGGCAGACTCGGTACCAGGGTAGCCTGCGTGGAAGTTCTCCATACTGAGAATGGACAGCTCTACCTAGGAAGAGAGGCAAGGCATGGGACGTGGAACATTACCAGAGCCAGCCACCGAGGGCGGTGCCGCGGAGGAACACGCGCTTGTCATTCTCGTCGACAATCTTGTTCCCCTTTACGCGGAGGAAGCCTGATCTCATGATGAAGGGTAGATTGGGGATGGTGTCAATGGGATGGGGGACGTTGTCAGTGGATGTACTGCTGCCATGGTGCCCAGTAGATCTGGGTTCTACCTCTTTTTATACCTCGAAGCAACCTTGATTGTGTTGTAAAATGCCCGTCAGTATTTTTCGGTTAAGAGCCGACCAACGACTATCTCCCAAGTCCCTCGAGCTCGGTGACAGTGACGACGAGTACACATTGGTAGAGCGAGCTCGGCTGACGGACGGTCTCTGGCCGAGCAAGACCGAGACGGGTGGCCTTGGCCAGCATGTCCACCACGGTTTAGAATGAGCGAAATTAGGCTAAAGTGAAGAAGAATCAAGATCGCAGTCAAGACAGATGGTACGTATTGACGGGTACGAACGTCTGGGGAGATGGGGATCTATTTTCGTATTTGACGCGTAAAACTCCAGACCCCGCCCATTCCACCCCTCTCTGTTCTTCCAACTTCTCCTCTCTAACAAAGTCCATCCTTCTCGTACACAAGTACGAAAAATCAATTGAGGGAGGGACCTGAGGCGGCGACTATCTTTGGTTCCATCGCAAAGGCGCCCCAGGTCAGCTCATTGACGCCAGGCTGCTTCGGTGGTCATCGACCGGTCGTCTTCGTCAGTCGTTCGTCTTCGTCGGTCACTCGTCTTCTCCAGCGGCTCGTCTTCTCCAGCGGCTCGTCTTATGAGGTCCATCAGACCTCTCGATTCTGTTGCAGCTGCGCTTGGCTTGGCAGCCCATCGCCAGGGGGATCTAACGTGCAAATGGCTATGTCAGCTCCCAGTACGTCTGTCGAGGCGTGGTGATCAAGGCTTACATCTCTTCAGCCATTGATGCTGCACAGCAAGTGTCACGCATGACATGAGAGTTGTGACGATCAACGACACCAGTGCGATCGTTGTGTCAGCTGTCCAGGGGGGGGACTGACCCTCCTCCGTGGGTTCGAAATGATCGCTGCACATGGTATTCTGGCTGAGAAGAAGCACGCTAAAACTTGCAATGAAAGC